ATGTGATGGCTGGAGTGGACTAGTTTTGGACTTAATCTGCATGGGACTTTGAACCTAGCTGAATCCTCTGGCTTGAGAATTATGATTGTGTGGCTATTGTAAAGAAAGGCTTGACTTTGTCTAATGTTTGGCAAAAGTTTTGTGAGTAATCTAGCATGATTGTTAGGAATGAGTAAACAAGTGTAGAAATGTATTTTTGTGCTTAGTAAGAGATTGTCCTGTAAAGTAACCTAGCTGAATCCTCTGACTTGAGAATCATGATTGTGTTGCTGTTGTCAAGGAAATAATGTTTAAAGAGAGGCTTGACTTTGTCTAATGTTTGGTAAGCAATCTAGCATGATTGTTAGGAATGAGTAAACAAGTGTAGAAACGTATTTTGTGCTTAGTGAGAGATTGTGCTGTAAAGTACATTTCCTTGATCTGCATAGGCTGAATCCTCTGGCTTGTGGATTATCAAGATTTATTGCTGTTGCTGTTGCATGTTACTAGATTGGTTGGAAGAGGGGGATCGAGTAAATTGTAAGGCGAGATTTCTGGAAGGGTGGATTGTGGGTAAAATTGAAACATTTCCAGAATATCTCGCCTGGCTTTAGTATATCTGCATATCAAAAGGCTTTCAGATGTGGAAAGAAGTATGGCTTTAGTGCATTTGCATGTTTCCTCAGGGGTGGAGAAGTTCATCTCCATGTCATGGGTGATTACCTGGGCAACAGAGGGCTTATCTGTACCTGAGAAGTGAAGGGGAGGGCGGGTGTGGTTGCTGCTGGAGCAGAGAAGAAAGACGGACTGGGACTGCAGTTTGTGAGCAATAAACGGGTTTTAAACTTTATTTCTCCCTTTGACTGATTTTGGTTTTTAGGGGTATTTTGCCCCGGGATTTCCTTTCCCTGGACTTACACCCCTATATTGCAAATATTGTTTCATTGGTCACACAGCTTTTTTCTCCTTTTCTCTGATTTCTGTTTCATTTACCATCTCCTTTACCTCATCTAATCTACTTTTCATATGTATATTTCTTTTCATATACTGTATTCTTTAGCTCTGAATGGCTTTTTTTTTGAGGATTTCTTCTCTTTGTTGAGTCCTTCCTGAGAATTTGAATACTTTTTGTAAATCCATGATGAGCATGTTTATGACTTTCATTTTGAATTCTTTGTTGAGAAGATTGGTAATTTTAGTTTCATTAAGCCCTCTTTTTGGTGTTTTTTCCTGAATTTTGTCTTGGACCAAATTCTTCTGTCTCTTCATTATTTTTTAGTGTTTTTTAATGGGATAATAATTTGTGTAGGTGGCGCCCTCAAGTGCTCAAAAACTCGATTTCCTGTGGGGCGGGGTCGGGCACAGCTCTTGGTGTGCAGTGGTTGTGGCACCTGTCTTGCTGTGTAGTGTTCTGCTATCAGGTGGGATGTATGGGCTGTCAGCTGATTATGGGAGCTGGGAGAATACTGTCTGGAGCTGCTATGGGTGGAGCTGCTCTCTCTCCAGCCTGCCACAGTGGCAGAGGCCATAGGCAAGTGGAACCAGTGCCTGCCAGGAGGAAGGAGCTCTTGGGGCCAGGCCACACACATGCCCGCATGGCTGCTGGGCTGGAGCTATTGTGGGCGGAATCTTTGTCCGCCAGGCTTGCTGCAGCAGCGGGTGTTGCTGGCAAACAGGACCTGTTCTTGCTAGGAGGAAAGGACTCCCCTGGGCCATAGGCGTAGGTATGTACTGGCCTGTGGGGCTTGAGCTGTTGTGGGTGGAGCTGCCCTCCACCCAGCCTGCTCTGATGGCAGGGGCTGCTAGTGAGCAGGATAGGCACCTGCTGGGGAAAAGAGCTCCCCATACCGACTCTTTCAAGCAGCTACTCGGCTGTCCCAAAATAAAACAGAACTACTTGGGCATGAAGGTTGATTTCACTGCTAGCCGGCAGGCTGTGCACCACTGCAAGAAGTCTCCAGCCTGTGTTGCCAGCAAGGGGGATAGACAGTCTGAAGCTCCTGAGGGCTCCCAACCTTTTGTGCTGAGGGCCAGCTGGGGAGGTGTTGTCCACCTGATTTTTCTCCTAAACAGAGTCCTGTGCAATTCTTGCCCCTCTGGCATCCCTCTCACTGCTGGAAAGTCTTTCAAACTGCCCACTCTGCTTTCTTTTTCAGGGGGTCTGTGGAGCATGCCTGTTCTCCACAGGCTGCTGGGATTTCAGCCTCCCCGAGTATTCTGCCTGCCTCTGTTGTCCAGCCCCACCAATCACCAGGGCACCATGCAATGTGGGCTTGTGTTCCCAGAGCAGATTTCCAGGGCCAGGTGTTAAGAGGTCCCAGGCTTCTACTCCCTCCCTGCTCTGTTCCTCTTCCTCCCACCTGGGTTGGGGGAGAGCTTGGGTCCCGCCAGGTCGCAGCTTTGCTGCTTTACCCTTTTCTTCAGGGTCTTCTCTTCTTCCTCAGATATGGGTAGTCAGTTCTGCAGTCTTCAGGTTGATTTCAGGCCCAGCTGTATTTGCTGTATTTTTGTGTTCTTTATGATTTGGGGAGGAGGTTTTTGCCTTGCCTTCTTACACTGCCATCCTTTTTTCTGTCTCTATAATTATCTATCTTAAATGATTATCCTTGAACAATAGCTATGATTAAGTATTTAAAATACTTTTAAAAGTATGTTATCAGCATTTTGTTTAATATGGGCTAAATAAATTATACTGTATAAGTTTTTGATATTGCAAACAATTTAATATGGCTAGTTGCTCAAGTAATTTTAGTAACTTCTAATTTCTGAGGTGCTTGGTTTCTGTGGTCAGGTGGATGCAGGAATGCCCAAATCTTGTTTGATTAAACATAGTATGTTATTAGTGTAACAAATAATAAGTTAATGTTTGCTCATAAATACAGATACCAAAAAAATAAGAGGAAAATTCTATGGAAGGATTGTCATCTTCTTAAAAATATTGTTCGGATGGTGGTAAGGGGAGGAAGAGAAGGGGGATGAAGTGGAGAAAAGTGGTGGGTGCTGAGGCAGGGTTCGTGGACTGTGTTTACCCAACTCCTGTACTTTCATCCCTGCACTGCCTTGGGGAGTACAACCTTTGCCATCAGATACCTGGCTTTAAATTTTGATTTCCATTTACTACTTTATCTTCTGTTTGCTCTTTAAAATAGTGGGTTAAAAATAAAAACAAAAAGCTCTATAGGGTAATGATACATCTGCTTTCAGGTTTGCTATGAAGTTTAGAGAAAATGTAAAGTACTGTTGTTTTTAGTATTATTAAAGGAAATGGATAATGAAATAATCATAGTAATGGAATGTCCATAGGCCTTTAAAAAAAACCTTAGATTATGTAAGGAATTCATTGGTTCACTGGGATTCCAATTTTCTACAAAATTTATCCTGTTTTGGCAACCTTTATTTTTTTCCTCGATGTGGAAACTTAAGACATTGAACACTTTTTTTTTACCTTCTTTAGTACATTATTTGAGAAGAAACTAAAGGAAAAGTTTTGCCCAAAATTTAACACTTTCTTTTCTTTTTTGAGCCTTGGACTTTATTGCTTTTTAAAAATTGAGATAGATATAAAATACACAAATCTTAGTGTACAGCTTGATGAATTTTGACATGTGTATACACTCATGTAGCCATCACCCAAATTAAGATATCAGACATTCTCAGTAATTTTTTTTCCCCCTTCACCTATTTTACCCATTTCCTTGCTTTCTTCCCCTATGGCAACTACCAGTCTGTTCTCTGAAAATAAATGCATACTTTAGATGTAAGAGTTTAGGGGACAGTATATAATCATCATGGTGAAACTTTAGTTTTGCATCAGGCTAATAGTTTACATGTATTATGAATTTATGTACTTTACCATCTTTGGGGTGTAGTCAGATTTAAACACTTTTTGAGCCTTATATCCTTAGGTCTCTTTGTGAAAATTCTTTGATCCTAATCTGTATATTTTAAGAATATTCAGGACTCTGATTAGTCTAGCAGTTAGCTGACAATGTCTAGGACTCTAAAATGTCATTTATTCACCTGAAATTATTCCTTTCAAACTCATATTAAGGAATAGAATTCTAGGATTCAGCAGTTTCAAAATTATTCTTCATAGAACTTCATAAAACTGACACGGTCTATCGAGTCATCTGCTGTAACCCTACAGTGATACTATTGCCATCCTAACACTTTGGCATTTTGAAATAAAACTCTAAAGCTGTAGTAGTTCAGGTTCACTGCCCTTTGCTGCTGAGTCCCTAATAGCCAGGCCATACAGATAATAAGGCTTAAGCTGTAGGCGTGGTCCGAGGTACATTAGATACATATTTGGGGTCTGACTTCTACAAGGGCCTTTTGCTAGTTACCTGTGGACAGACACCCTGCTAGCCTATGAATGAAATAGTATTTGCAGTTGTTCCCACAGTTTATTTGCAAAAAGGCCATACTCTTTTTAATGGAAACATATATGTATATTATTTTCAGTTGCTTTTATGGGAGATTTGTTTTGAGATTTGTTAAGACCAAGGTCACTGATCTTACCTGTTGAACTGGACATTCTAAAATGATGATCTGGAATGGGTAAAACTATTCTGGGCCATGAAAAATATAAAATATATTCATTATCACCTCACTGCATGAGCAATTCTGCAATCTGTACTCTTGTTAACATGCATATTAATTCATAATTGGGTTAGTTGGTCCTGTAGTGCCCTGGTAGTAAGTAGGCTGTACGTAATTCATTGAGAACCTGGTCTGTGGGACCACACTACTCAAGTTGGAATCCTAGCTCCAGTCACAAAAGAACTAAGTGGTCTTAGATGTAAAGTACTTAACATTTAAGGGTCTAGATTTATCTATTTTATCAACTGAATTTAATCCTAATACCTATTCTTGACATTGTTTTGGTTGTATAAATATTGAACATATTTTCTATATTTTACATAGGCTTACTTAAAACATATGAGAGTCCAAAATGGATTTTCTTGGGCAACAAAAATGTTCTGAAGGAAATCTAAAACCATGTACCCTTTTATTTTCAGAAGGGAGTAATATGATGGCTACTGAAGAGACTAATTTTGATCGTGGCTACATAAAAAAGAAATTAGAACATGGACTTACACGAATATGGCAGGTTTGGTTTTTTAAATTACTTTTTAAAAAGGCAATAGAAACCTTCATGTCAAAGTTGTTTTAGAAAAGCAGTGTTTAAATTTTCTGTATTTATTTGTATTTCTTGCATGTTTAGTATGTTCATTTTTCTTTGAAATAAGTCTGTCATTTAATTTAATTTCTGTAATTTCACTGACAATTGTATTTGACTACAAGAGGCAGTAGAAAAAGTCTTTTGACTTGAAAATCTCCATTGAAAATATTCATATATTCCTTGATTTCTGTAATTTCGCTGATAATTGTATTTGACTACAAGAGGCATAGAAAGCTTTTTGAATTGAAAATCTCCTTTGAAAATATTCATATAGTCCTAGATTTCTGTAATTTTGTGGACAATTATATGTGACTACAGGAGGCAGTAGGAAAAGCCTTCTAACTTGAAAATCTCCATTGGAAATACTCATATATTCCTTAATTAGAGGAATACTTTGTTTTCTAATGTCCTAGCCAGTATGCTTTCCTAAAGAAATTGCTTTCTTATTAAGATACTATTTAATTTTATTTCATTTATTTCCTTTTTTTTTCTTTTAATGTTAATTTTAAGACAGGGTAATGAAACAGGTGACATACTTGGGTTGGAATCTTGTATAGAATGAAGAATTTTTTATTCTGACAGGTTTATTGGCTGAATATAACTTCTTAAGCTTTTCTTTTCCAGTCTAACTGCTCAGTTGTTATCAGATAATTAAATTTGTTAATTTGTTAAAATCTGTTACTTCCTAGGTAAGAGTGTAATTCCTTTGAAGATAACTCTTGTTCTTTCTGGGGCTCTTGGAAGACTATAGACCCTTTAACCATGTTATGGTTTTTTAAAATGTATTTTTGATTTTTCTAATGAGGCTGATTTTTAGTTTGACAATCTTTTATGAAATTTCTTTTGAAAAAAATTGTTTAGAGAAACACATACTGAAAATAAGATTCTTGAATCTTTAGGAATCAGCAGTTATAATTTAGGTTCTAATTTTTGGTAATCNAGCGTTTTTATGTAGCTAGTTTCCATTCATTCTAGTAATCTGATATCTTTTTTGATATAGGAAAATTTGTTGAAATACGAAGTTTAGTATTTAATTTGGCCAATTTAATGGAAGTTATCATACTTTGGAGTAAAGATTATTGTGTTGTAGGTTCCAAGCTTTGGAGTGTCTTCATCTCCACCACCCCAAATCCCTTGTGCATCCTCAACTCCATTTCTCAGTCAGTTCTAGTACAGAACTCTGTACACTTTAGGAATTCATTGAGTGTTTGTTAAATTGAAATTACAAGGCTTAATCCAATTGAAAAAAGCAAAAGCTCTGAAAAACAAATGTTTTTTGATAACATGTTTAGCAGACAAAACCTGACCTGACTTGAATTCATTTGACAGCAGAACTGCATCAGTGTTGTCATTAGGCTTTTCATAGTATTTATTTATCTCATTAAAATGAACATTCATATGTTGCTGAAATATTAATGTGCTTTATTTTGGGATATTGGCCAAAGCCCACTGGGGACATTACATAATATATTCTCTTACCTTATATATACCATAATACATTCCTAATGCTTGAAATTCCAAACTCCAAACCAAGAGTGTGTAGCAATTTATAGACATTTATCATAAATTTATTAGTATAGAGATAATGGAAAGCAATTATTGAAAAGCCTTTCTGACATAAAATTGAAATAAGAAAATCAGCTTGATTTTTTATAAGAAAAGTTTTTAGAATATTGTGGCAAATTTTCCATGCATTTTGACTTAACCAGAATCTTTAAGAAAAAAGACTGGATCAGTCATACTATGGTGGCAGACACCATTTGTGAATTTGAGGACGTGGTGGTGAATCCATGATCCTTGACCTTACGGATTTTACACCTCTAACCACACAAAAGTCTTGGTCTTCCAAGATTTTTTTTTTCATCTTTAAATATTTGGTATGTGAGAAATTACATTTAAAAATGCTTACGATGAGTTGCAATTTATTATAGAGAATTAGAGGTGCAATATTCTTGCTTTTTGTGAACGAATTTGAAATTTTCTTTACAGCCTAGTATGCCACCACTTTTAAAATTCTCCCTTGGCCATTTGAAATATAACCATGTGTTTCTTCTTCATTTTGAGAATTAGGTTCTAATGTATGTCCTTGTTTTTTGTGTTATTGGTCTGTGCATTTCTGAGGGACAAGCTTTACTATTTCAGAATGACTGTAGTTTTGTCAGACTTTTATTTCTAACAGCTTTTGCTTTTAGTACTTGGATGCTATGCTGATTAATGCTGCAGTGCTAATAACCACTTTACTGACCTTCTTTGTTCATAATTCCCTTCATTAATTAAAAAAATAGCTCTTTCATCCTGAGGCATTTTTCTATGGATTCTGGTTTGCTTTATTATTACCATTTCTGTTTATTTTGTTTATATTTTCTCAGCAAATACATTTTAAATGTTTTTGAATCATGTTGAAACTCTACCTTTTAATAGGGCAGTTGAAGCTGTTTATACTCTTATTTATGTTTTAATTCATACTTCTTTAATTAGGGAAGTTGGACATTTAAAAATCTGTTAATTTTTGATTTGTGAATTATTTGCTTGTGTTTTACTCATAGGTTCTAAATGATTTATGTGATAATGAGTAATCCTTTGTGTGTCATTTGTCAGTTTTTACTTTATTTTCTGTAATGCAGATTCTAACTTGAGGTTCTAACTGTTGACCTTTGCCTTTGTGACTTGTGTTACATTTATTCTCATAATGTTCTTTTCTATGTAAAGCTCAGGTCAGTATTCTGGTAATTATAAATGTTCATCTAAACTTTATGTTAACTGTGGTATTGCTAATACCTAGAGTACTACCTAGAACACTTAATAAATACTCAGAAAATATTTTTGCTTTATTGAATTAATTGTTAATATTGTGAAAACATATGAAAAATCCTTATTTAATCCATTTTATATTTCTTTTAATAGATGGTATAAAGGAAAGATTTTTTTTCCCCTCCAAAATGTAGTCAGTTTTCACTACTTTCTGGATAATCTATTTTCTTCCTTGTGTATTTGTGATGCCTCCTTTTAGCAAGGAACAGTGAAAAGTGAAGACTTGGAAGGCAGATTGACCAGAATCAAGACTTGGCTTTGTCATTGACTGGACATGAATTTAGGCAACTGTTGGAGTTTTTTCAATTTATCTTCTCTTTGGGAAATAGTAAATGCCTGCTCAATGGAGATGTCTTGGGATTAAAAATAATATGTAAAGTTCTTAGCATAATGCCCAACAAGATGTAAATAATCAGAAAACAGGGTTTTTTCCTGTTGCTTATTAAGCTCTTGTATATATATTAGCACTATTTCTCAGTTACTCTTTTTCCATTGATTACTCATAGCTTTTACTCCATCTTTTCCAAGCTTTAATTTTTCAAAGCTTTTTTAAAAAACAGGTGATTGCCTGTTTATTTCTGGTGAATTTTAGAATAATCGTTGAGAGGCAAAGTTTTATTTTGTGATTTTGGTTGGAATTTCACTGAACCTCTACATTAATTTGGAAAAATCGACATCTTTACACTATTTAGTTGCCTGTCCAGTCCCTTTGACTCTCAATTTATTGAAACTTCTTTTGTATACCATTAGGTTGTTAGTTTTCTCTTATCTGATATTTCTTATTAAAGTTGTTCCTAAGTATATTATATCTTAATATTTATTTTAAATGGAATTTCTCCATTTTAAATTGCTACAGCAGGTATACATGAACACTATTAATTTTTCTATATTGTACATAATCACTTCACATGGTTATCTTATTAATTCTAATTGCTTTTTAATTGATGTTTACTTTAGAGTTCCTATTCCTACCAAGCCATGCATAAATAATGATTTCTGTCTTCATATCTATGAGGATATAATTCCTGCCTTGCATGTGTGTGTATGTACTAATAGAGATGATTGTGGCCATTACTGTTTTTTTTTTTAATATATATCTGATGTTCATGGAATTGTCTCTGTGATATCGTCCTAAGGACCTTGGCTTTTGGCCTAAACAGAATTCTTTGTCAAGTTAATAATGTATTACTCTCTCATTTTAATGTGTAACTACAGAATAAATGGTTCTGAGAACTTATTTTCTATATTTTATGTTTACTTGAAATATTTTTTTGCTTTGCAGGATGTTCAGCTTAAAGTAAAAACCTACCTGCTTGGAACTGATTTGTCTATATTCAAATATGATGATTTCATCTTTGTTTTGGATATAATCAGCAGGTAGTGTTCATGATCTTGTCTTATTTAGTTTGATTCATTGAACCATGTTAAAGAAATCATGAATCAGTGAGTTATATATAACTTCTTCATGGAAATGAAGATAATTGGATATTTCTAATCTAATTGCTGCTGGGTTGGTATGTGAGTGTGTTTAAATATTTCTGCCATTTGAATATTGGTAAAACATAATGGATTTGTGATCTTTAGAATTTCTTCAAATATTTTTGTGGTTTGTTATCTTTGAAGAAATATGACCTAGGCATTTTGTTTTCTATAACAAAGATTTTGCTGAAATTTATGTCAGTCTTTTTATCCAACTAGGTTGATGCAAGTTGGAGAAGAATTTTGTGGTAGCAAGTCTGAAGTTTTGCAAGAGTCTATTAGAAAACAAAGTGTCAATTATTTTAAGAACTACCATAGGTAAGAATTCTAGTAAAATATGAATAGACTTATTACCTGAATACTTTTGTCTAATGCTCAGCCTTAGAACATTAATTTGGCTAAAACAAACTACTTTTGAATTTTAAAGAATATGTTCTTTGTAGGCTGTTTTTGGATTGTTAAGGATTTTTTTCCAAAAACACATTCTCATTATTTACTCATTGCATATTTTAGTATATTTGTCTGGAGGGACTCAAAATATTAAACTAAATGTTGAAATGATTTCTTTATTGATGAAAGATGATTATTAAATTAGGGTTCACCAAAAGAATTTGGCTCCTCTTCTATGCCTGCCTGTACGGTATGATATGATAGTAAGGAAGTTAACTCAGTAGAGACAGCACTCATGAGGCAGTGCTTGAAAGTATCTGCCTTTTTGGAGTAAGAAGGCTTCTAGAGAAGAGGGCATGATATTCAGAATCTTAGCTACAAAGCCAAGATTATGTACCACATTTCTTTGCAAAACTTCAAAAAGGGTGACTAGAAATGGTTTTGGAAATGGAGAAAGGTGAGAATGAATATCATATAGCAAATAAGGTTGTATGCTTAAAGCAGCATTAAATTGAGAGAGCTAACATTTATTAGACCTTTCTTGATAGAAACTGGACCCTGCTCTGTACTTTATATACATTTGATCACTTGAATTGAGTCCTATCCTACGTTTTATTTCACATTTTTACTTCTTAAATGTAAGTTTTTATTGTTGTTATTTGGTGCCAGGGAGAGTCAGGATTTGAAATTCTACTTTCTCTTCTTGTTCAGAGTCAATACCTGGTCACAGTGATGTGTAGTATGTCTGAAGAGAGATTATTGGATATCAAACCATTGATTGATTAATTATTAAATATATTTAAATATAAGTTTTCTGTGTGAAATGTAAATTACTAAGTATTTGTTTTGAAAGAAGATTTAAACTGATCCTCAAAGCAGAACCTTTGACTTTCATAATTGAATGAAGAGAAGGTTTAAAAAATTTAGTACAAACATTTTTTCAATTGGTTAAACCTCAGGAAAACAGTGGTAAGGGGACAACATGAAGCCCTAACACTGCCTTTATTTATAACTTCCTTTTCTATTAAAACTTAAGCCCTACTAAAACAGAAGTCTAGTCTGTACACATTGCTGCACAAAAGGAGAGGGGCCTGTAGTCACAGATAGAAAAAAACAAGGAACTATGAAGTAGCCAGAAGCCTCATTTACCCATCAGAATGAAGGCATGTCAGATGTCCATTTCCAAAAGATGGCTTTATATCCAGCAAGACAACTGGGGAGACCCTTTGGTGTTCCTACTGACTGTGGAATGTGTGCAGTACAAACATTTATTTAATGGTCTCCATTCTGCATCCTACTTTTACCTACTGTCAAAGGTGTCTGTCGTCTGTGGCAGCCACACATGGGCATTTTAAGATTCTTACTATGATGGAGATCCCTCACGAAAGTTCATCCTGATGAAATTAGAGAATACAAACATGAATTATTAATGTTTCCAAAACACTCAGCATTTTAATGGACTTCTCTTAGAAACGTTTGTGAAACTTCCCATTGAAGAGTACCTACTGTACTGTTAGAAGGAGAGCTGAACTAGGAGACAGTAGACTTCTTTCCTTATCCCGTTTTTGCCGCTTGCCAGCTCTCTGACATTGAACAAATCATTTAACCACTTCGGGCTCTGCTTCTATCAACTGTAAGATGAGGAAGCTGGATAAAAGGTTTCCATAAGTGTTGCCTGCAGATTTGTGCTTTTTCTTGCTTTGTTGAAGAGTGTGAAATTGGAATAGGTTAAAAAGTAAGGATTTAAGAAGCTCAGGGGATTAAAGATGGTGGCATGAGAAGTGAGACACAGAATTTCTCCCAAAACCACAAATAGTACGAAAATTTAGTTAATTAATACAACTAACCCTCAAACAGAAACAGGAAAGAAGGATGAACCAGACTGCATAACGACATCATGAACACAGCAGACCTCATGAAACAGGGTAACATACCAAAGCCTTGATCTGGAGGGACCCAAGCCCTTGCCCCACCCCAGCTCACCAGCGGGAGGAAAAGAAATGGAGCAGGGAGTGGGTGGAAGCCTGGGACTACTGAACACCTGGCCCTGGAGATCTGCTTTGCAAGCAGAAACTTACACTGTGTGGTGCTCTGGAGGTTGGAGAGCTGGGACAGGTGGAGTGCCTGAGACACTGACATTCTGGCTGTTTGTAGAGGCTGGGATCCACATCCGGCCACAGTCTGAGAGGCTTCCTAGCAGTGAGAGGGCTGCTGAAGGGGCGGGGTTTGCACGGAGCTTGCTGTGCAGGAGAAGGGAGAGCTGGACAAGGTTGTCCGAGCACACTCTTCCTAATAGGTTGGGAATTTTGAGGAGCTTCAGGCGCTCCATCCCCCTGGCTGGCAACTCAGCTCTGAGGCCCCCCACTGTGACACGCAGCCTGCTGAGCCTTCTTCCTGGTCTGACAGCACCGGCTCAGAAACCAGCAGTTGCTGTGCTGGCATCAGGCCAACCAGAGGAAGGTCCTGCCTACAACAGCTAGAGATGCCGAGCACAGAGGCTTACACCTGTGTGCTTGGCCCACTGGCTATGATACTGGAGACAGGCACCACAGATGGGAATCAGGAAACAGATCTTTCCTTCCACCAGACACCAGCTCCGCTCCCCAAAGACCCCGAACCTCACTCTAGGGGCTGAGCAGCTTCAGAGACTGGAGCTTCTGGGTACTAAAGGGCACCACATAGAAATAAGAAATGTCAGAATAACCTGATTCAAACCAAAATCTCAGAAACCACAGAAAAAGGGCCAAATTAAACTGAACTCACCAATCTTCCTGAAAGAGATTTCAAAATAAAAATCATAAACATGCTTATGGGAGTACAGAAAAATATTCAAGAACTCAGGAATGAATTTAAGACAGATATAATCATTAAGAAATTCCATATCTGAAATGAAACATACAATGGAGGGATTTAAAAGCAGATTAGGTATAGTAGAAGAGACGGTAAATGGAATAGGAATTGGAGAGGAGGAATACAAAGAAGTTGAGGCACAGAGAGAAAGAAGAATCTCTAAGAATGAAAGAATATTGAGAGAACTGTGTGACCAATCCATACTGAACAATATTCACATTATAGGGGTACCAGAAGAAGAAGAGAAAGAAAAAGGGATAGAAAGTGTCATTGAGGAGGTAATTGCTGAAGACTTCCCCAGTCTGGGGAAGGAGATAGTCTCTCAAGCCATGGGGGTGCACAGATCTCCCAACCCAAGGGACCCAAAGAAGACAGCACCAAGACATATAATATTTAAAATGGCAAAGATCAAGGATAAAGACAGACTTTTAAAAGCAGCTAGAGAGAGAAAAAAGATCACATACAAAGAAAAACCTATCGGGCTATCATCAGATTTCTCAACAGAAATCTAACAGGCCAGAAGGGAGTGGCATTATATATTTAATGCAATAAGGCAGAAGGGCCTCAAACCAAGAATACTCTACCTGGCAAGGTTATCATTCAAATTTGAAGGAGGGATTAAACAATTTCCAGATAAGCAAAAGCTGAGAGAATTTACCTCCCACAAACCATCTTTACAGTGCATTTTGGAGGGACTCATATAGATGGAAGTATTCCTAAGACTAAACAGATGTTACCCAAGGGATAGACAAAGAGTACAGAATATGATTCATAACAGACAAAGATGGAGGAGGAAGAAAAAGGAGGAAAAAAAAGAAGAACCTTTAGGTTGTGTTTGTAATAGCATACAAAGTGAGTTAAATTAGACTGTTAGATAGTAAGGTAATTACTGTTGAATCTTTGGTAACCATGAATCTAAGCCTGCAATGGCAATAAGTACGTACCTATCGGTAATCACCCTAAATGTAAATGGTCTGAATGCACCAATCAAAAGACATAGAGTCACTGAATGGATAAAAAAGCAAGACTCATCTGTATGCTGCCTACAGGAGACTCACTTCAAAACCAAAGACATACACAGACTGAAAGTAAAGGGATGGAAAAAGATATTTCATGCAACTAATAGGGAGAAAAAAAGCAAGAGCTGTAGTACTTATGTCAGACAAAATAGACTTCAAAACAAAGCAAGTAAAAGAGATAAAGAAGGACATTACATAATGATAGAATGGTCAGCCCAACAAGAGGATATAACCATTAAAAAATAGCTATGCACCCAACACAGGATCACCTACATATGTGAAACAAATACTAACAGAATTAAAGGGGGAAATAGAATGTGAGTGCATTCATTTCAGGAGACTTCAACACACCACTCACTCCAAAGGACAGATCAACCAGACAGAAAATAAGAGACAAAGGCACTGAACAACATATTAGAATAGATGGACCTAAAGGAAATTTACAGAACACTCCATCCAAAAGCAACAGGATACACATTCTTCTCAAGTGCACATGGAACATTTTCAAGAATAGATCATATACTAGGCCACAAAAGGAACCTCAGTAAGTTCAAAAAGATGGAAATTGTACCAACAAGCTTCTCAGATCACAAAGGCATGAAACTAGAAATAAATTACACAAAGAAAATGAAAAAGCACACAAAAAAATGGAGGCTTAATAACATGCTCCTAAATAATCAGTGGATCAATGACCAAATAAAAACAGATCAAGCAATATATGGAGACAAATGAGAACAATAATTCAACACCACAAAATCTGTGGGATGCAGCGAAGGCTGTGCTAAGAGGGAAATTTATTGTAATACAGGCCTACATCAGGAAAGAAGAACAATCCCAAATGAACAGTGTGAACTCACAATTAATGAAACTAGTAAGGGAAGAACAAATGAGGCCCAAAGTCAGTAGAAGGAGGGACATAATAAAGATTAAAGCAGAAATAAATAAAATTGAGAAGAATAAAACAATAGAAAGTATCATTGAAAGCAGGAGCTGATTCTTTGAGAAAATAAACAAAATAGATAAACCCTTAGCCAGACTTATCAAGAAAAAAAGAGAGTCTACACACATAAACAGAATCAGAAATGAGAAAGGAAAAATCACTACGGACACCGCAGAAATATAAAGAATTATGAGAGAATACTATGAAAAATTATATTGTAACAAACTGGAAAACCTAGAAGAAATGGACAACTTTTTAGAAAAATACAACCTTCCAAAGCTGACCCAGGAGGAAATAGAAAATCTGAATAGACCAATTAACAGCAAAGAAATTGAATTGATAATCAAAAAACTACATAAGAACAAAACCCCTGGATCAGATGGTTTCACTGCTGAATTTTATCAAACATTTAGTGAAGACCTAATACCCATCCTCCTTAAAGTTTTCCAAATAGTAGAAGAGGCGGGAATACTCCCAAACTCATTCTACAAGGCTAACATCACTGTAATGCCAAAACCAGGCAAAGATACCACAAAAAAAGAAAATTACAGACCAACATCCCTGATGAACATAGATGCAAAAATACTCAACAAAATGTTGGCAAACCAGATTCAAAAATACATCAAAAAGATTATCCATCATGATCAAGTAGGATTTATCTCAGGGATGCAAGGATAGTACAGCACTCGAAAATCCATCAACATCATCCACTACATCAATAAGAAGGACAAAAACCACATGATCATCTCCATAGATGCTGAAAAAGCATTAGCCAAAATTCAACATCCATTCATGAGAAAAACTCTCAACAAAATGGGTATAGAGTGCAAGTACCTCAACATAATAAAGGCCATATATTACAAACCCACAGCCAATATTATACTTAATAGTGAGAAGCTGAAAGCTTTTCCTCTAAGATTGGGAACAAGACAGGGATGCCCACTCTCCCCACTGTTATTGAACATAGTACTGGAGGTCCTAGCCATGGCAATCAGACAACACAAAGAAATAAAAGGCATCCAGATTGGAAAGAAAGAAGTCAAATTGCCCTTGTTTGCAGATGACATGAGATTGTACATAAAAAGCCCTAAAGAATCCACTCCAAAACTATTAGATCTAATATCTGAATTCAGCAAAATTGTGGGATACAAAATTAGTAC